GCTTCTCTGGGCCCCCTGTGCCAGCGCCTCAGCGCCTTCGTGGTTGGACATTTCTTCCCTATGTCCAACCTCACCCCACCCTCATCCAGTTTAAACCCGTTGCCCCTTGTCCTGTCCCTGCAGGCCCTGGTCAAAAGTCTCTCTCCATTTTCCCTCTAAGCGCCCTTGAAGTCCTGAGCAGCCACAGGAAGGTCTCCCTGGAGCCGTCTCTTCTCTGGGCTGCACAGCCCCAACTCTCTCCCCTTTCTCCACAGTGGAGCTGTCCCAGCCCTTGGCCCGTTTTGGAGGCTCCTCTGGATACACCAGGTCCATGTGTGTCTTGTGCTGGGGAGCCCTGAGCTGGACACACAGCTCCAGGGGGTCTCAGAAGAGCGGGTCAGAGGAGGAGCATCCCCTGCCTTGACCTGCTGGTCACGCTGCTGCTGATCAGCCCAGGAGACACTTGGCTTTCTGGGCTGCAAGCGCACAGTGCTGGGCCATGTCCCATTTGTCACCCACCAGTATACCCCAGTCTTTCTCCACAGGGCTGAATGCCTTTCTTTCTAGAGAAGGCGAATCTGGTGCACGAGTCTCAAGCAGAGCTAAAGCTGTTGCTGTGTCAAGAAAGAAATGCTTGTGCACTTTTTCAACTGATGTGTCTAATGGGACCATCTCCCGCACCCATCCTGCCACTCAGCATCACTCGCAGTCCAGCAGTACTGCTGCAGGGGGAAGAAGGTTGTGTTACCCCAACCTCACCCCATGGACCAGTCATGTAGCCAACCTGGTGAGCAGGGACATATTGAGATAGGGTGGAAGGTGAAAAGAGAGGAGGCAATGGAAAAGGGATAGGAAAAGAGGATACTCAGAAAGGATCAGAAAGAAGACATGAAGAGACTGACATGGTGAAGAAACTCCCAATGAGGGTTTCCTCTGGGACTTTCGGGGCCACCAGCATGGCTCACCCTTAGAGAGGTACAGCTCACAGAGAGACCCAACCCTGCTGAGCTGAAGCTGCTCTCAAAGCCTCTGTACAGAGGGAGAGCAGCACAATGCAGCATGTCTGCAGTGTCAGAATGCCCAGTGCACACCAGCATTCAGGTGCTGGTACAGCCAGAGCAGCCCCTTCTCCAACAGACAACACTGGAGACTTCTTGAAGATATACTTGTGATTGCTTTGCAGTTACTCTGAGCAAGCAGCAGCCTGGTATTTATGGCAGAGACTTGGAGTCAGCTCATTTTATTCCTCCTGTGCTGGCAAACCTCACATGAACGCCCCAGGAGCTCCAGCTTCCACAGGCAGCCTCTGCTCGAGAGGTGCCTGCCCCAAGCAGGGTTAAACCAGCTCCTGAGCATCATGGCTTGAAATCCAGCAAAGACATGAGGTGCCATCCAAGCGACTCCTCTGCCTTCTCCAGATCGTTTTCCTAAAATCCATTTCATTCTTATTAAGCTAAAAAGTATCAACATATTGTTGATCTGCAGCCTGGGTGTTAAATGACAGCCCTTTCTGCTGATCAGTATACCACACCATGCCTCTTTTACTTCAGAAGTTATTTAATTTAGGGTTTCTCTTGTCAGATTGTTATTTTATGCTCCCACAGGCATCCCACGTGTCTGAAAAATGCATTTGATTTTTGAAGGAACACGGAGTTTCATGCAAAATGGGCTGGAAAAAAGCATTTAAAATGGCTCTCAGTCATTAAATAACACTACCTGAATATTCAGGGTAAATAAAAAGCATATCAAAATGTACCTTGCATTTGAAAGAAACTCACTAAACAGAAAATACTAACTGAAGGTAGGAAATGGGGTTGTTCCACCTGGGTCCAGCAACTCTTCACTTCCTGAGCATGGGAAAAGCAGCCCAATTTGCTGGATTTCCAAAGAGCTCATACAGCTCTGGATACCCCGCACGGGGCTTTGACACCCCCACAAAGCATCCAGTGAAACCTGGCACCTTGGCCTTCAAGGTTATTCATGAAGGGAAAGACATTTCTAAAGTGCTCATCCTGTGGGGAAGGGGGTGGATGCAGAGATTCCACCCTTGGGCTCCCACACTTGGGTTTGTTTCAGGATTGAACTAGAGCAAAAGCCGTTCTGAGTAACAAGGACCCAAAGCACTGACATTTGCTCTGTTATGAACTCAAGATTGGATAATTATAGAAACATGGTCAATACTGTTGAGGCGCCTGCACCACCGGTAACGTTTCTGGGCTGGGGATGCCCTTGAGAGCTGCATCCCCAAAGCCCCCCCTCTTTCTGCTGCTGGTTTATTCAAACTGCTGCTGTGACACGGGGACAAACAGAGTAGTTCTAACATAATGAATTGAGAACATGGTAACAACTGGCCCCTGCTGTGCCCTGGCAGTACCACCTACCTGGTTGGGAATACTATGGGGAATGATAGACAAGTTCCACTACCTGAAAGTAGTTAGGACCTCTGGTAATTCAGCACCATATATACTGCTTCTTAACACAAACTCACTCCGCACTGTTTCCCACATGACAGCTACAGTCAGTGCACCGGACCAGGTCACCCAGTGACCAGAGCTGTCAGCCCCTCTTACCCACACTGCGTGGTGACAAGCAAAGCCAGCAATGGAACCCTGGGACAACACGGCTCTTGTGCCCAGCTCAGCACCAGCCTCTACCCCATCCTGCACACACGAGCGTGCACACTGGGCACACACACCGCTGGTCACATGGTCCCAGCATAGGGCCAGCATCCCTGGGAAGATGAGCAGCTGCAGGAGCCCAGAGACAGAAACCACCCAGGCTGGAAGCCAAAGCCCCAAAGCGGAGCAATGTGCTACATTACCCACCTCAGCCTCCCATCACAGTGGTTCCAACTGCTGCCCAGAGGAGCTCCTCTCCCTCGTTACCTGCAGAGCCTAAAGAAATGCTCAGAAAGGCCCAAATTACAAGAAAATCTCCTACTTCCTTGACTGAATAGTCCATGGCTTGGGTTCTTCAGCTTGCAGAAGAGACAGCTCTGGGGGAACCTCACTGCGGCTGTTCAGTATATAAAGGCAGCTTATAAGAAAGATGAAGAAAGTGTTTTCACCAGGGCCTGCAGGGACAGGACAAGGGGTGATGGTTTTAAACTGGACAAGGATGGGGTGAGGTTGTACATAGGGAAGAAATGTCCAGCCACGAAGGTGGTGGGACACTGGCACAGGGTGCCCAGAGAAGCTGTGGCTGCCCCATCCCTGGCAGTGTTCAAGGCCAGCTTGGACACAGGGGCTTGGAGCAACCTGCTCTAGTGGAAGGTGTCCCTGCCCGTGGCAGGGGGTTGGACTGGCTCATCTCTGAAGGTCACTTCCAACCCAGACCACTCTGGGACTCTATGGTAGAGCACAGCCCTGAACCCCCCTCTCCTGTGTGCCAGGATGATGTCCCAGCCACAGTGTTTCGACATGGAAATATAAATATAAACCCTGCTCAAATTCATGGTCCTAGACCACACAGCACCAGTCTGTGGCCACCCCTCGTTTCCTCAGACACTGCTGAAGTAATGCCTTTCCCTGGGAAACATGGGCACACCATGGGACAGGCACCTTCCACTGCCACCTCCCTGCTCTCCCCTCCTTGCCGCTGCCACCCAGCACCTGCATTTGAGATGGCAAACAGCTCCTGAAGGGCACAGCAGAGAACACAGCAGAGCAGAAAGCCCAACGGGGGTTTCATAGCACTGCTGTCAGCACACAGCCGTGTCTCCGGAGTGGTAAAGGCAGAGATGCTGCTTTGCTGTGTGCTGTTGCACCATCCTTTGCTTTGCCTTTGCTGTGCCCCAGCAATTCTCCTTCCCACTGGCTTTTGAGACAAGCCTTTCTCTTGCCTCAGAGTTTTAGAGGACTGTTTCTCCACAGCCTCAGGCTCAGCTGTGACAGCCTCTGGTGCAGGGCCAGGAAGATGCTGGGCTCCAAGCTGGAAACTGCCTCTGCAGAGGTGAGTACTTAACATCACCGTGGTAATGATCCAGCCCCTCCTGCGGCATGAGGGCAGGTAACACAAGTGGCTTCCCAGACTGAAAAGGAGATAAATGGGAAAAGCCAAAACTACTCTAGCTTCACTGCTGAGTGCCTAAAGAAGGAAGAATTGTTACTGAGCTGTATTTGTGCACAAACCCCCTGCGAGAGCAGCAGCTCCATGCCCAGATCACCACCCCTGGGTGCTGAAAAGCTACACGGGCAGCTCCTGTCACCTTTAGCAGTTTAATGGTTTGCTAAAACACCATCTTTGCTGCAGAACAAGGCCTTGCTTCTCTGCTCTGGGACACCTCACTTTCATCCACATCATCCAGTGCACCCAGCAAGGACAAGGCACTGTAGCTTGCCCTGCAGCAATGCAGAGCCAGATTCCACTGATGGAGCAATAACTGCATCTTGCTGTGTGCTCTCTCACCAAAGGATCACAAGGTTGGTCATCCTGCAGTAAAAACTACACATCAACCCTCCATGGTAGGCTGGCTTCAGCCCAGCAGGCCTGCACAGTGCTCTCTGAAAGATCACCCTTCTTGTAAGACTAAGTGAAACTATAGGTGAGTTACCCAGCTGCACCAGTGAGCCCTGGGCTCATTTAAGAGCTGCTCAAGCATCCTTCCAGAAGCACACAGAGACTTCAGGTTCCTGAACACACTGAGAGCAAACATTCTCCCCCAAAGCTGGCACTTCTGAGGGTATTTTTGCTCCAGCCAAAACCACCTTTAGTGAGATGCTTAAATGTGGATGTGAAGAAGCTCACCCATGTGTTCATCCAAGCAGACACCCAGATTTGCATGCAAGGACAAAGCACACTGCCCTCCCCTCCACAGCTGCCTCTCCACATTCTTATGTCACAGGTCCTTCGCCCACTATTTGCACACCATAACTTGACTGCTCTAAAGCCAAGCCCTCCTCTCCCATTACCTCCTGGGATCACAGAATCATCAGGGTAGGAAGGGACCTCTGGAGATCATCCAGTCCAACCCCTGCCAAGGCAGGGCCACCCAGAGCAGGTCACACAGGAATGCATCCAGGTGGGGTTTGAATGTCTCCAGAGAGGGAGACTCCAGCCCCTCCTGGGGAGCCTGTTCACTGCTCTGCCACCCTCCATGGAAAGAAGTTCTTTACACTGAAGACCCCTCAGCTACCTCCAGCCACTTCCTGTCCTCCCCTCCCCAGTGCCACAGGGCAGAGACTCACCTGAGTTTTCCTTATCCGCAAGTCAGCAGATGACCTGTTCAGTCCTTCCTCTTGTTCAATGCTCTGCTCAATACCTGGTCAGGGTAGAAGGACACAGATTATTTCACACTGTTTGGAGAAGGAAAATGGATTGTCTGGCAAAGGGACTGTAAAAAACCTGAGGAGTCATCTGGCACTGAGCAGTCTCCAGCTCCTGACCCTAGACAGCAGTTTAGCCTGGACTGGCAGCAAAGCCCCACTCCATTACTACAAAGCACTCAGTGCCTGGCCACCAGCTGAGGCTTGGTGCTGTTGAGGGCAGCACCTGTGACCCCCAGGCTGGTAAGTGAGGATTTAAATGCACAATTGATGGAATGCTTGGGTCTGATCTCCACACTTTACAGTATTCAAACAACTGGGGGGACCTTATTGCTCTCTATGATGACCTGACAGGAGGATGGAGCCACGAGGGGGCTGGTCTCTGCTCCCAAGGAACAAGGGATGGGACAAGAGGAAATGGCCTCAAGCTGCACCAGGGGAGGGTTAGATGAAGATGAGGAACAATTCCTTCCCTAGAGGGTGCTCAGGCATTGGAACAGGCTGCCCAGGGCAGTGCTGGAGTCACCGTCCCTGCGAGTTTTCACGCCCCGTGTAGACGAGGCCTCAGTGCCAGGGGTTAGTGGTGGCCTTGGCAGTGCTGGGAATCGTTGGACTGGATGACCTTGAAGGTCTTTTCCAACCTGGTTGATTCCACGATTCTATGAAAATGGAGTGCTGTTCTCCCCCTGCCAGGCAGGCAGAGGAAACACAGCTAAAATGTCTCTGCAAAATACCAAAGCTCAAGACTTCTCCAGGGACCCTAAAAGGCATCCCAGCTGCCCATTCCTGCACAGGGAGGACACAGCAGGCTGGTGAGAGTGTGCTTCACACAGTCCTGTGCTGCACAGTCCTCTGCAGCAAAGCATAGATTTGCCCTTTTAACTATGCCCAGTAATGCAAGTAAGTGAGATGGATTCCTCTCACACCAGGTGTGAGCTGGTGGCATCTCTTGAATTTGGCTGATGACACCTTCCCAACACAGATGTCCCAAGCCCTCTGTTCCCTACATCTTCCACACTGAAGCAGGTCCCACGAGCCCAGCGTGGGGCAGGTTTCTCCTGCAGCAGGGGCTCCCTATTCCCTGGATCTGCCCCCTGCCTCCCCATCACCACTCAGGGTGGCAAGGCAGAGCTCAGGACACCGCCACCACGGTGGGCATCTGTGTTTCTGCTGTGTGCTGGTTAGCACAGGTGACCCCACAGAGCACCCTGCAGAGAGCAGCAGCACTGTGAGGAGGACAGTGGGCCTGGGGAACCCTTTGTGGTGCTGGCAGAGGGTGTCCAACAGCATAGCATGCTCTGGGGAAGGGGTGGAGAACATCAGCACAAATTCTGCACTCCCCCCTATTGTCTCTTGAAACTAGTGTCTGTGTCTAGACCTTAAGCAGAAGGCCCTGTCCCACACAGCCTGATGACCACAGCACTTCCCTGTGCACTCCCCTGCCTGCGAGCACACTGGCTGCTGCCTGCCCAACATATTCTATCAGCAACTGGTCTTCCTCCATGCTTGTCACAAACTGTTCCCCATTCCCAAGGAACAGTATTGGCAAACATTGTGCATTTATGATCATTAATAAAATCACATTTTCCCAAGAAGCTGGTAATTAGAATTAGCCATTGCATGAGCAACGTCTGTCCTGAACAAGTTCATTTGTTGTCAGCAGATGGTGGTTTTGATTAGTCTTGAATGTTTCCTCTCATTGATCATGCTGGCCATGAGGCGATCTGGGACAAAGCACAAGGACTAATCATCTGTTGCTCCAGGTAAAAAAGGTACCAATGAGTCTTTTCTGGAAGAAGGAAAGAGGAATTGGAGCCTGTCCTGCAATCCTTCAGGCTCCCAAAGCACCTTAAAAAACACAGAACAAAACACCTATGGAAAAGGATTTTTGTTTTGCGTGGGCTGGACACCAGGGAGTGATCCCAGTATGGCTGGTGGAGCTCTGAGCCATGGGAAGGGGTCCCCTGATCTATGAAATGGGTAAGCTGATCCTTAGATCTCCTTCTGGGTCTACAGGAGAGCATGTGTCAGGAGGACAGAGGGTAGCAAGGGGACAATGGAGGTACAAGTCTCCTTCTGCCATATACATGGGACATGGCCAAGCCAGTGGTGACAAACCTAGCAAACAGATCTAGCTGTATCTAAATTCTCCATGACTGCAGGGCTCCCACGAAACCCTGGGATTAGGGAGAACGTTGCCGCCATGGGGGAAGCACCAGCTCCTGTCTGATCCTTCAGACACGGCCAGGTCTCCTATGACAGTCTCAACCAAATCCCACGCTGATGTGCAAGGCCACTGCAGGCAAATCTGAGCTGTGCTGGGATGACCTGCCTCCTATGGCAAAATGCTACCGTTCTCACTGACCACCTGAATTCCCTGGACCTAATCTTGAGCTTTTGGGCTCGGCTGAGCGCTCCAGCACAGCCCCAGCCACCAGGAGGGTGACATTCATGTTCTTCTCACTGTCCACTTGTCAAAGAGATTGATTGACTCTTTGACAGTGGAAACCAACAGTCCTGCTGGCCATGCTCTTCCCCTGCACTGCCCAAGCAGAGGCATGCCAAGACAACAGGGCATGCTGATGAGACAGGATAACCTTCACCAACCCCAAAGGCCCGTTTCTTCCCCATCACCTGCCCCACAGAGCCTGTGTCTGGGGCCGGAGGTGTCTCCTGCCCATCTTGGCTATGCTGCGAACATATCTGGGATGAACAGGAGGCACCAATAGTGCAGCCTGCACTGGGGACTGAAAACAAAGACCAGCCTGGAGGAGGCAGGATGGGGGCAGTGAGAATCCCAGGCACCAGGACAGCATGCCTCATGTCAGCACGCTGGCCAGAGCTGCACAGGGAGGAGGGACCATGGCTCTCTGGGTGGGACCCCTTGGTGCTGCACCTGCCTAGGCTGCCTGTGCCAACAGGGCTCACAGGGGAAAAGCCAATTTTTCTTGGAGGCTTGCACATTCTCCAGCAGCACCTCTTCAACAACTCAGCCCTGGCAACCCAACCATTGGCCATGCTGTGAGTTTGCTCACCGGGAGAGCCCAGCACCTGCTCATGGCCCCATTCCCTCACCTCCATCTTGGGAATGGGGCAAAAGGGGGCAAAATCACAAAGGGCAAATGAAAGCAGCTAGAGGATTCTAGGGGGACAGAAAGTGACATCCCTCCCCAGCTGATCCCTGCAAAGTAATGGCAGATGTCTCTTCCCCAAGGTCTGCAATGTTTCCCAGTGCCAGCTCAAGCTGCCACCAGAGAATGCACAGACGGGGCAGGGCTGTGGGTCTGTAACCTGCCCCTTCCCACCTAGAGCAAACCACCACAAAACTGTCCTGACCCAAGTCACACACCAGGTGCTGCCAGCACAGGGCTGACATGACAGCCCCATGGCATTTCTGGTCACGGGGGATGAGTGGGGAGTGCTGGGCAGTGGAGGCATGGAGCAGGACATGGGGCAGCAATGCTCCCTGCCTGCTGCATCCCCTGCCAGCGGAGGGCAGTGGGCAGAGCTCCACAGCAGCATCACAGGCCAATACTCACTCTTTAGCTTGGAGCGTACTTTGTTTGCCGTTTTTTTTATGTCAGACATCAGCTCTTCCAGCTCCTCCTTCGTTTCTGAGGAGAAAAAAGCAAACAGAGATGTGTTGGAGACTGCTAAATCTGCTGCCTGGCTCCATAGCATGTGGGGACCAGTACTACAAGTACTCCCACCTCCAGACTGGGAGCACTTCCACCCCGTGCACCCTGTTGGGACTCTCCTCACGGTCCTGACCCTGGAAATAACCAGGTTGGTCAGGCAAGGAGAGAGGCCAGGGAGCCATCCTGCAGAACCACCTGCCTGCACAGCCCCAACCTGCCCCATACCCAGTGTTCTGCAGAAAGGGGAAGGGAATGGATACACAATCCACAGTGCTGGTCACCAAAAACCTTCTGCTCAGCAAGGCATTCAGCCCTGTGGAGAAGCACTGGGGGATACTGGTGGGTGACAAATGGGACATGGCCCAGCACTGTGCGCTTGCAGCCCAGAAAGCCAAGTGTTTCATGGGCTGATCAGCAGCAGCGTGACCAGCAGGTCGAGGCAGGGGATGCTCCTCCTCTGCCCCGCTCTCCTGAGACCCCCTGGAGCTCTGCATCCAGCTCAGGACTCCCCAGCACAAGACACATGGACCTGGTGGGTCCAGAGGAGCCTCCAAAACGGACCAAGGGCTGGGACAGCTCCACTGTGGAGAAAGGGGAGAGAGTTGGGGCTGTGCAGCCCAGAGAAGAGACGGCTCCAGGGAGACCTTCCTGTGGCTGCTCAGGACTCCAAGGGGGCTTAGAGGGAAGATGGAGAGAGACTTTTGACCAGGGCCTGCAGGGACAGGACAAGGGGCAACGGGTTTAAACTGGATGAGGGTGGGGTGAGGTTGGACATAGGGAAGCAATGTCCAAAGAAGCTGTGGCTGCCCCATCCCTGGCAGTGTTCAAGGCCAGGTTGGACACAGGGGCTTGGAGCAACCTGCTCTAGTGGAAGATGGCTCAGCATGCTAGTACCCAACTATGCCCTGCCTGTGCAGCCTGTGATGCTGTGCACTTGCAGAAGGGCTGGGTGGTGGCAGCAGACGCCCCATGCTCACCCATGGGCTTGTAGCTGGCTTGCCAGGGACGTAACTGTGCCCCAACCATGGGACCAGCCAAGCCCAAGACTCAGCCTTGACACCAGCAAGTTGCAATATCTCAAGATCCAGATACAAAAGAAAGTACAAACCACCTGTCATTCAAATATGATTTCTCAGAAATGCTGCTACCCCAACGGTCCCTCTTGATTTTGATGAGATCAACACTTAATTAAATAGACTTTGTTTAATAGACTCTAGGCACATTATCTGAGTCATTCCAGTGGCTGGGGGGGGGGTGTGCGCTATCCTCCCCAC